ATCTTCTACATCCCTATTTCTTTAGGAAAAATTCCTAGAAGTGGAATTGCTGGGTTGATGGATATAAATTTCCTTATGACTTTTTAATTCAAAGAAGACATTCAGATGGCCAACAGACACATGAAAAATGGTCAACCTCACTCATCATCAGGGAAATGCAAATCAAAACTACAATGAGATAGCACATCATACCTGTCAGAATGGTAAAATCAAAAACACAAAAAACAACGGGTGTTGGCAATGATGTGGAGAAAAAGGAACCCTCCTGCACTGTTGGTGGGAATGCAAACTGGGCAGTCACTCTGAAAAACAGTATGGAGCCTCCTCAAAAAATTAAAAAGAGAACTACCCTATGATCCAGTAATCACACTACTGTGTATTTACCTAAAAAAATACAAAAAACTAATTCAAAGGGATACATGCACCCCGCTGTTTGTTGCAGTATTATCTATAGGAGCCAAATTATGGGAGCAGCTGACTATCCATCAATAGATGAATGGATAAAGAAGAGGTGGCATATGTATATAATGGAATGTTATTCAGCCATAAAAAAGAATGAAATCTTTTTTTTTAAGATTTTTTTTTTTGTTGTTTATCTGAGAGAGTGAGAGAGAGTACACACATGCAACAGAGGGAGAGAGGAAGAGCAAGAAGCAGACTCCCCGCTGAGCTGGGAGCCTTATGTGCAGCTCCATCCCAGGACCCTGAGATCATTACCTGAGCCAAAGGCACATGCTTAACCAACTGAGTCACCCAGGTACCCTCCCAAAAAAGAATAAAATATTGCCATTTGCAACAACATGAATCGATCTAGAGAGTATAATGCTATGAGAAGTCAGTCAGAAAAAGACAAATACCATGTTTTCATTCATATGTGGAATTTAAGAAACAAAACAAATGAGCAAAGGAAAGAGAAAGAGAGAGGGAGATAAACCAAGAAACAGACAGACTCTTAACTATTGAGAACAAAATGATGGTTACCAGAGGGCAGGTGGGGTAGAAGATGGCTGAAATAGGGGATGGGATTAAAGAGTACACTTGTCATGATGAAAACAATAATGATCATAAAATAAAATGATTAAAAATTATAAAATTAATATGTGCTCATCAAATATTACTTGTTTAAAGTATTAAAAAAGACTTTTTGATTCATATTGTCAAACTGCTCTCAAAAAAGCACTGTACTGAGTTATTGCCTTATCTGTAGCCCAGGAGCACACATGTTTCACCACATGGGAGGACTTCTCCCCTAACTTTACTCAAGTAAATTCAGAATGGTTTGGCGAACCTACTCCCCAGATGTCAACTGCTTTCATTTATGCATCCATCCCCAAACAGAAGACCTTGATGCTTATGAACTAGTGAAGAGTATCATTTCCCATGCCTCTTAAAAACTAAAATAACCAAAGTCCCCAAGAACACAAAAACATGAACATTTGAAAACATTTTCAGCTATTTTAAAACTTTGCTTCCATGTTTTCCAAAATGACTATTCATTTACTTGAACAAAACATTTTAAAATGCAGTTGTCATCTATTCTATGCCTCCAAGAGCTGGGCAGTTTGTTTTATAATAAATGGTGGCCTTAGTTTATACCATGTGATTGAAGGGCATTCAGCACACGTTGGAGCCTCTAATCACAGTCTATAATCTCGTTTTCACATTTCTCTCTGGTATATCCTACTTGACCCTGCTTATTGAAGCACTTTTATTGTGCTGGTTAAAAAGACAAGGGATTGAGCAGAAACAAAAGTGAGGTCTGAGAATTGTTTTTATGCCATGTGCCCAGTCCAGCTCTATTGCTAAATGAATAGAAACTATCTGGAATCCAGCCAAAGCTACTTGATGGAAAACTCTGACTTCCAAAAAGTATTCCTGATGTTTTTAAAAGCATCACAATTTGCCCAAGTTGAAAAAGAAAGGTTTGTCTCTTCACAATAAAAGCACAGCTAGCTAGGTAGCCAGCCATATAATCCAGGTTTCGTCAAACTTTCTGTAAAGAGCTAAACAGTAAATATTTTAGATTTTGTGAGCCAGACTGTCACTGATGCAACTAACTCAATTCTGCCACTGTTGCGAGAAAGCATCTATAGATGATATGTGGCTCACTGGGTGTGGCTGCATACCAATACAAATTTACCCAGAAGGGCCATGCCAAGATTTGGCCTCCAGGCAGTAGTTTACAACCTCATGGTTATAAGTTCCCTTCCAACTCTGAAATTCTTTTAATCTATCACCAGTCTTGGACTTCTGGGACATGTGGTATTTTGGAGTTAGGTTGTCCAATATTGACTGGTGTTTAGGATGAGGGTAGAGAGAAAGGAAGTTCTGCTAATCTCCAGACACAAATAGATTCAGGATATTAGACAATAAAATCCATCAGTTGAAGGAGGTTAAACACAGGGTTCTCTCCCTTTCTCTTTTGGCTCAGATATTAACATTGAATTTTTTTAAAAACTCAATTCCTATTCCATTTCTTCAATCTGGTGAATCTTCCAGTTCTTCAGACGTATGGAATCTGTTCCTAGACTGTGTTGTGATGAGAGGAAGCCAATGGAACCTTCAACTCTCCAGAGGACAGGCACAAGACAAAACTGCACCAATAGCTGAGAAATGGTGGACTGAAGTCCAGCCCCACCTCCTGGATTCTTCTACAGGGAATATGAGTTAGGATGAATCACCCTCTAACAACTGAAGTGCCTACTTCCAGGACAGCCTCAAAAGGGAAATTGACCTCCTATTTCTCCTCCTTTTCACCAACAAAATTCTCAGAAGATGGCAAGTTTACTTTCTCAAGTTCCTAGTCTGTGTTTTTAACTCAACATCTGTGTTTGCCCTGGTCCTTCTGACATCCTAGACATCCCCATCTTTTCTAACCCTCACCCCTACCCCACAGCAATGTATTCATTGGCTGTCAAGCTGCTGGTTGTGCCCTATAGTCTCTTCTTTCTATTCTCCTTTAATGTAGTCATTCCCCAAATTTCTGTCCTTTGTTCTTTTCCTTGTAAAGTTTCCCTTTCGAGATTCATTCATTTCTAGGTCTGTATTTCTTTGTGATCAATCCCAGTCTCTTCCCACCTTTTCCTTGAGCTTCAGTATTCAGCTGGATCCCAAACTCAACACATCCAAAGCTGGATTTAGGAACTGCCTCAAATTGAGTACTCCTCCTATGGGTCCTCTTTCAGTTTGTGGCATCTCTCACCCTCCCAAACTCAATACCTCAGAATAATAATTCACTTCTCCCTTTTCTTCAATCGAAATTGCATCGATTCTTCTGTCCCGACTCCTCTGCCTGGCAACCCTTACTTTCTATTTCTGCCACCCACATCCTGGCCATTTAACTGTCTTCTCCACCTTCAGACTGGCCCCTGTTCAGCCATCTTGAGCAAAACAATTGAAATTCACATTTTAAAGCTCCATTTTGAAGTCATTCACCTATTTAAAAACAATTTGTGGCCTCCCATTTAAATAAAGCTTTGAGATCCTTCATCATTCAACTCCAACCTGTTGTTGGCTTTTCCAGAATCATTTTCCCACATGAACTTTGCACTTGAATGAAGGTGGACCACTCATATTCTTCTAACATCCCTGGTGGGTCCCTTCTTTAGTGACTGCTTTTATTTATCTCTGATAATAAAGTGTCTTCTATCTTTCACTGTAACCCAAAACAGCTCCATTATCTTCTATTCACTGTGACACTTAATTTGTACCCCTCCCATCCCATGTATCTTTTTTTTTTTTTTTGAGTGAAAGAGAGAGTGGGCAGTGGCGATGGGTGGAGGAGGAGTTAGAGGAAGAGGGAGAGAGAGAATCCCAAGCAGACTCTATGGCCACACACACACAGGGCTCTATCTCACAACCCTGAGATCATGACCTGAGCCCAAATCAAGAGTTGGACACTTAACCAACTGTGCCACCCCAGGTACCACTCATCCCATGTATCTTAAGTGGGATGAGAAATTATACTCTTTCACTAATTCATAGCATCAATGTCTTCTGTTTGGGGATGGATGCATAAATGAAAGCAGTTGACATCTGGGGAGTAGGTTCGCCAAACCATTCTGAATTTACTTGAGTAAAGTTAGGGGAGAAGTCCTCCCATGTGGTGAAACATGTGTGCTCCTGGGCTACAGATAAGGCAATAACTCAGTACAGTGCTTTTTTGAGAGCAGTTTGACAATATGAATCAAAAAGTCTTTTTTAATACTTTAAACAAGTAATATTTGATGAGCACATATTAATTTTATAATTTTTAATCATTTTATTTTATGATCATTATTGTTTTCATCATGACAAGTGTACTCTTTAATCCCATCCCCTATTTCAGCCATCTTCTACCCCACCTGCCCTCTGGTAACCATCATTTTGTTCTCAATAGTTAAGAGTCTGTCTGTTTCTTGGTTTATCTCCCTCTCTCTTTCTCTTTCCTTTGCTCATTTGTTTTGTTTCTTAAATTCCACATATGAGTGAAACCATGGTATTTGAGAAACATCATTATAGGACAGTGGGGTACCTTTACTGTAGATGATGAGCTTGCTGAGGGCAGAAACTGGCTGTCCTATAATTATGTTTCTCACACAATACCTTGCCCATTGTCTGTATCCAATTACTATTGATCAAATAAATAAGCATAAATGAAAGAAGAATATTGTTTTTACCATTCCTGGAGTTAAGATCCACAAAAGCCATTTGGGGATTGGGTTTTTGTGTCTTTTAACCCATTTCAAAGACTAGCACAGACATGAATTTCATTGGTGGGTCTCAATAAATATAAAATTAATCTTAACAGCAATGAGTAAAACAGAATGGCTGCCTCTTCCCAATGTCTTCTGTTTGGGGATGGATGCATAAATGAAAGCAGTTGACATTTGGGGAGTAGTTATGCATAAAAACATTTCTAAGGGTGACATAGTAAACTACAGAAATATTTTATATAATCAAAAATCCTTAAAAGAACTATATAAATGCACATGATATTTTCATGAAAAGGTGGAATATAAACATAATATTTATATACAAGTAATATGAACATATGGACAAGGACAAGATGGGGGGAAATATTAATATGCTAAGAAAGTGAAATTTCAGATCTATTTGTTGTTTTAAAATGTTTTCCCCTTATGCTTACAATTTAATATTCTTTGTTGCTCTTAAAAAATAGTCTGACCTCCAAAATTAAAAAAATGTAAAGCAGAATATTTCACCAAGAAGAATGAGAATTGTCCAGAAAGTTGTTATTTGAAAATCCTAACTCCAAAAAGTAATTCGTCATTTTCTACTATCTCTGATACAAAAACTCTTTAATATCTTTTTTGCTTCATGTCTTCGATTTCCTGCCACTCACTAGAATGTGTTTCCATCAGCCTTTCATTACATAGTGTCAATATGTGGCTACAGTTCTTTGTTGTGTATTAACTGAGAGCTTGCCCACATGACTGTCTCAGACATTTAATTCAATGGGAGAAGGTTCTGGTCAACATCATCAGACTAGGGAGAGAGAAGAAGAAGAATGAGAATTTAAACAATTACCTCTTATTTCAGAAGGCTTGTTTTCTCGTAGAAAAGTCTTTGAGTTAAACTCATCTATGTCTTGAGGGTTTCTACAAAGCTACAGTGAGATCGGTTATAAAATAAACCCATTTCTTTCTTTGGTGATGCTCCTCCACATCACTAGCTGGAATGTCCCTCAAACAAAGCAATCTAACACACACTGCCAAAGAGAAAAACTCTCCTTCATGTATACACTGAAGAAAAAAAAAAGTTGTCAATACATACAAGTCATTAAAAATGTGAGAATATGAAGCTTCTTGAATTACCCACTAACTTAAGTCAACACATACTATATTCTTACCCAAAGGAACAAATTCAAGTATATCCAGTGGGGCTTAAGTGACACAGATAATACTTAAATATAGAACCTCTTCCTTTAGGTTCCAAAAAAAAACAGGACATAATTTTACTTTTGCTTTTCAAAATTCTCAAGAATTTTGTAAGCTTAGTCAACTTCCAATAATAACAATTAATAATAATAATAATTGCTCCTACTAAGTACTTACCATGTGCCAGACATTGTAGCCTGCTGTACAGCCAGTGATCACCACTAGAATTAGAGACGAAGGGTAGGCCAGGCAGCCAGTTGTCAGGATGCCAGTCCAAAAAAGGGCACTAAAACATGACCAGAAATGTAACTGTTACCTGAAACTGTGTTTGCTTCTTGGTGGATGTCAGGCCAAAAGACACAACCAAGCCAAAGAATAGGAAAACAAAGGGTTATACTTGCCACAAGGAGAACACCAGGGATTTTCCCAAAGCAGTGTCTCCTCAAACAATAAAACTAGGGAAGTTTTAAGCTAAGGGTGCATATCTATTCATGAAGGGGGTTGTGCAGCGAGGCATACAGCAAGGAAATGGGGAAAAAGTCATCTTAAGGTGAGAGAGTCCAGGTCAAAGTAAGGAGAGCCAACAAGGGTCAACGTCAACAAGTCTCTGGCTCCAGTTGGTCCAATATCTGAGTTCTCAAAGGGGTTTAGATCCTGCAAAGATAACTCAAGAATGTGTGTCAGGGCAGTCTTCACTTTTGGATCAGCACTAGGAGTTTTACCACTGCTTTATTGTCCCTGATATGATTAGGTTATCTCTCGGCCTGACAGTGGCTATTTTGTTCTTAGCTTCTTTCACAAGGTGCTGGGAGGTGCCTAAAATGACTTTTCTTATATATAAAAAAAAAAAAAAAAAAGAAAGAAAGAAAGGAAGGAAGAAAGAAGGAAAAGCTGTGTCTTTCTTTTTGGGGGTCCCCTAACTCTCTCTGCTTACATACCACACAGAGAAAACTGGAATTTGCAGAACCCCTCTCAGCAAGAGCAGCATAAGTTTTGGGAAGATGTGCTCTAGTCAGCCATCTGGGGAGAAGATGAGATCCCCTGAGGGCATACCCAACCGTACAGGTTGCCTCCCCACCAAAATGCCTCCTCTGAAGGGTGCATCTAGTTGACCACATGTCTACAGAGTGGAGTGTGCAAATTAGAGGCCAGAGCAGACTTCTGGCCGACCTTTGGGGAGAAGCTTAGTCCTTCCTCCTGGCCTCCTTTTTACCCACCACCACTCCCAGGTCAGTGTCTCTATTTAATAAAAATTAGGCAAATGTTTAAAGAATGTTGTTTTAAAGTGGTGCCGAATAATGAAGCCAACCAGCAACCAGTGTGGCTGGAGCCAGCCTTGCTCACTCTATTTCTGCAAGGGTTCCATTTCCCATTTCTCAGGGCCAGGTGAGCACAACCCTCCAGCACAACAGCCCACCATGCTGGTCTCTAATGGGGCCCACCACAGGCCCAGCTGGCAGGTGTGAAAGCTGGCACCTGCTCCATCATCTCCTTCTCAGCTACAATTGCCACCATCAGGGGGAGCATGAACCTAAATCTACCCATGGCCATGACTCCCTTCCTTCACTCCCCTGACACACATGCCCTCCAGCACCTGTGACATTTTGCCCCTCTTGGCTAGGTCTCCACTAATGGGTTTAATCTCCCTGATGACATTGTGACTGTTTTGAAAACTTGCTGAAGCCACCTGGGTGGCTCAGTGGGTTAAACCTCTGCCTTCGGCTCAGGTCATGATCCCAGGGGCCTGGGATCGAGTCCCGCATCGGGCTCTCTGCTCAGCAGGGAGCCTGCTTCCTCCTCTCTCTGTCTGTCTCTCTGCCTACTTGTGATCTCTCTCTCTGTCAAATAAATAAATAAAATCTTAAAAAAAAAAAAAGAAAGAAAACTTGCTGAGACATATTTGTTGGGTGCTTCCAACAGCCTCCAGCATGGTAATGAGCCTCAGAGTAAAAATTTCACACATTCCTTAAGTTAAAACAGTGTAGATTAGAAACACAATTTAGAGATCAGCTAATCTATGGTCATGACAGATATGGAAGCAAGAGTAAAGGAACGGGGCTCGAAAGATGCTGGGCAGTCCTAGACATGACATGCCCATTAGGCCACTTCACCCTTGTTGCCGTGATCACAAGACAAACCCTCATTCACCTTGGAAAACCATTTCCAGCTCTCTGGGATGCTTTCCCTGGCCTCCTCTCACATTATGTCACAGGCTCTTTTTTCTCTTTATTCTGTTAGATTGGGAGGAATATTTTGAGGAAATACTATTCATCTTTGTTTACCCAATGCCTAGCAGACCTGATACCATAGTAGGTCTGTAAATACTCTTCGAATGAGGTAGAAATGTCCTTTCAGCAAGTCATGGACTGCCATGTTGAAAACTGCTCTTTGATATAAATACATGTTTTTCTCTGGAGTGAAATGATGACAGAGATAAAAGAAGCAAGACAGTGGCCACTTAATCCATAAGACAAAGACAAGATAGGTAACTTTAGCACAGTAAATGATAAAATTCCCAAAATATCATTTTCAAGCTAATGTTAATATTTCAAGTCATCAGGTGTGAATTAATGTTCTTTCTATCAGAGACTCATATCTTGAATGCACCAATTTTATTAAGTTTAAATTTTCTTAATGTGATAAAATAGACATGACAAAGTTTACTGCTTTAACCATTTTTTAAATGTACAATTCAGTGGCATTAAGTACATTCGCATAGATATGCAACCATCACCTCCATCCATCTCCAGAGCTTTATCTTTCCAAACTGAATTTCTGTACCCCTTAAACAATAATGCCCTATTTCCCTCTCCCCCAAGCCCCTGGTAACCACCATTCTACTGTCTCTATGAATTTGCCTATTCTAGGGACTTCATATAAGTGGAATCATATAATTCTTGTCCTTCTGTGTCTGGCTTATTTCACTACAATGTTCTCAAGTTTCATCCATGTTATAGCATGTGTCAATTTTTCTTTTCAGGTTCCACATTTTGTTTATCTATTCATCTGATAGACATTTGGGGAGTTTCCACCTTTTGACTATTGTGAATAAATTTAAGATGTTTAAGTAATACATTAAATAATTTAAAAATAAAGCAGTACTAAGAGGCATATAATGAAAACTAGCAGTCTCCTGTTTGCTGTCCTGTTGATCCCCAAAGGCTATAACTTTCATATTATTTAGCTCTTTTCTTTTGGTCATTTCAACCATATATTTTTTAAAGATTTTATTTATTTGACAGACAGAGATCACAAGCAGGCAGAGAGGCAGGCAGAGAGAGAGGAAGGGAAGTAGGCTTCCTGATGAGCAGAGAGCCCGATGCGGGACTTGATCTCAGGACCCTGGGATCATTACCTGGGCTGAAGGCAGAGGCTTTAACCCACTGAGACACCCAGGCGCCCCTCAGCCATATTTTTATATTTTTTTTAATTTTTAAAAACATTTTATTTATTTATTTGTCAGAGAGCATGAGCACAGGCAGACAGAGTGGCAGGCAGAGGCAGAGGGAGAAGCAGGCTCCCCGCTGAGCAAGGAGCCCGATGAGGGACTCGATCCTAGGATGCTGGGATTATGACCTGAGCTGAAGGCAGCTGCTTAACCAACTGAGCATCCCGTCAGCCATATTTTTAAATGTAGTGTATTTTCTTGAGTTTTTAACTTTTTAATATAATTTGCTGATTCCCCACCATAGAAGAGCTAGCTCTCCTACTACACACATGCTTCATGTATCCACAGAGATATCTCCCCTCTATTATTTTTTTAAGATTTTATATATTTGACAGACAGAGATCATAAGTAGGCAGAGAGACTGGCAGAGAGAGAGGAAGGGAAGCAGGTTCCTTGCGATGCGGGGCTCGATCCCAGGACCCTGGGATCATGACTTGAGCCGAAGGCAGAGGCTTTAACCCACTGAGCCACCCAGACGCCCCTCCCCTCTACTACTCTTGCAATACAACTACATCCCCATTTCGATAAAATACATTTCAGTGTTTATTGTATTATGTGTGTCAATCGGTAATATGATGAGAGAAAATTTAACAGGAAGAATTATTAGCAATTAGGAAAATGACTGAAAGAAAAGTAGAGATACCAGGTGTACAGAGAAGTTAGTATTTCCAGGATGGAGGAGAATGCCCAGGGAAGGGCCAGTTCGGAAGAGCCCTCTCCCGGAGGTGGAGAGGGTATGGCTGTGGCAGAGAAGAACGAAGAGGTGCAGAGGGTGGGCTAATACCCAGCTACCCACCGCTGAGGTGCCAGTGAATCTCACTGGGAAGCTGCCCACTGAGAATCTATTGGCAGCCTTACAGTGAAAATGAGAAAACCAAATTCTGAAAACCAAGAGTAGCCCCTTCTCTTACAGTGTCCACCAGTGCCCTTTACTGACAAGGCTTAACATTGTGATATCAGCAAAGGAAATGTTTATATAGAGTTCAGCTCCAGTATCACAAAGCAGGGCAAAGAGGGGTGAAAATAGAGCTGAGAGACAATACAATGACAAACAGCACACCATGTTCATGAAAGTTATCCTGAAACCCCCTTCACCACCCTTCATTGTCTTAGGTCTGGGTTGGATCTCCTATTTCCCAGATCCATATCTTCCTCTTTCTTCATTTATAATCTCATTTTGGTGCAAGTGTCACTTCTTGACAGAGTTACCTAAGAGGTAAACTTTATGAGAATATGCATTCTGAAAATGTCCTTACTCTACCTGATAGTTTGGCTAGCTATAGAATTCTAAACTCTTTTTCCCTCAGAATTTTAAAGGCATTGCACCATTATTTTCTAATGTCCAGCACTGCTATTAAAAATTCTGATGACATTTTGATTCCTGATCTTTTGTATGTGATCTGTTTTCTAGATTTTTTTTTCTTCCTCTGTGGAAGCCTTTACGATCTTTTCTTCCTACCCAGATTTTTGAAATTTCACAATGGTGAGTCTTGTTCTGAGTTTTTAAAGTTTTTAAGTACTCTGGGCACTCTGTGCTTTCAATCTGGACCATCCTGTTCTCTAGTTCTTTCCCCATGTTACATCTCTGCCATTTTCTACCCTTGCAACTTTCTCCGTTCTCTTTCTGGAACTTACAGTTGTTTGATGTTAGATCTCCTGGACTGAATCTTTGGGAAGCTGCCCACTAAGGATCTGCTGACCGTCTTGCACTGAAAACAAGAAAACCAAAGCCTGAAATCCAAGAGGAAGCCCCTTCCTCTTGCAATGTTCTCCAGCGCCCTCTACTGATAAGGCTTGACATTGTGACATCAGCAAAAGAAATGTTGGAGTCCAGCTCCAATATTTTATTACAAAGCAAGGAGAGGGGTGGATGCAGATCTGAGAGGCAATGTTTTCCTCTCATACTTTGCCCCTTTTCATCTTTTTTCTTTGTTTTATGCAATTTTTCTCAACCTTGTTATCCAGTTTTTCTGGAATATTTTGTTTCTTCTACTGTATTTTTAATTTTTCAGTCTTGTTTAATACTTTTTCATAGCCCAATTGCTTCTTGTTATGTGCTTATCTTTCCTTGTGCACTACTTTTAAACTTTTTGGTTTTTTTTTTCTTCCTACACTGTGGCTTTCCTTCCACCACCTTTTTAATTTTGATCTCCATCTTCCATTGAAGATTTCCTCAAATGTTTAGTCCATCCTTCTTTAAAGTGCAAAACACCCAAAAGGGAGCTCTGTGGGTGTGGGTAGGTTTCCTGACTGACGGAGTTCAGCCTAAGTTCACTGTGCAGATTGTAGCTGTAGGTATCTGTCTTTTGTCTTGGGCTGGTTGTTTCCTAAGAGGAATCCTCAAATCTTCTGCCAGATGGACTAGAAGCCTGGCCTCAAGCATCCTGGGCACCACGGGGCAGGACTCTCACTTTCAATCCTCCTGCTTCCAGAAAAGCCTTTCACTCCTGCCTCAGCTTTATGCCTGGTTTCTGAGTCCCAGCCCTTTCTGTCTGACCCTCCCTTAAACCTCCAGACTTCTACAGTTACAAGG